CCTTACTGGGAACCTGGCCTGCAGCCCAGGCATGTGCCCTGATTGGGAATCCAACCAGTGACCCTTTGATTCACAGGCTGGCGCTCAATCCACTGAGCCATGCCAGCCAGGGCCCCATAATTTTTTTTAAGTTTTTCAGTTATATTTCATAACAAAGATGCTAGCATGGGTTCCTCAAAATTGGGGGTAAAGAAATTGTGCCAGTCCAAGTCACAACCGTTAGAATTTTGTTACGTACACAATTCCAAAATAACTTCACACTTCCAATATTTCACCTCGGTTCAACTTAATTTGTTAACAAAGACTACTTTCTCTTTGTAAATTCTTATTGAGTTGATTGGGATGACACTGGTTAATAAAATTATATAGGTGTCAAGTGTACAGTTCTCGAAAACATCATCAGTATACTGGATTGTGTCCACCATCCAAAGTCAAGTCTCTTTCTATAACCATTTATTCCCATTTACCCTCTGCCACCTCCCCTTCCCTCTTGTAACCACCACACTGCACAGTGGCAGTAAGGTTTTTGTTTTTGCTTAATCTCTTCAACTTTTTCTCTAAGCCCCACAACCCCTGCCCCTGCTGACAGCTGTCAGTAGGTTTTCTGTATCTATGAGTATGTTTCTACTTAGTTTATCTTCTTCTTTAGATTCCACAAATAAATGAAATCATATGATATTTGTCTTTCTTTGGCTTATTCCACAGAGCACAATACTTTCCAGGTCCATCCATACTGTCACATAAAGTAAAATATCCTGTTTTATGGCCCAGTAATATTCTATTGTGTAAATGGACCACAGCTTTTCTATCCGCTCATTTACTGATGGGCACTTGGGCTGCTTCCAGATCTTGGCTATTGTAAATAATGCTGCAGTAAACATAGGTATGCATGTATTCTTTTGAATCGGTGTTTCCAGTTTCTTCAGATATATTTCCAGAAGCAGAATCTCTGGGTTATAAGGCAGTTTCACTTTTAATTATTTGAGGAAACTCCATACTGCTTTCCACAGTGCATTCCAGCCAATAGTGCACAAGGGTTCCCCTTTCTCCACACCCTCACCAACACTTGTTGTTTGTTGATTTATTGACAATGGCCATTCTGACAAGTGTGAGTTGATATCTCATTGTGGTTTTAATTTGCATTTCTCTGATGATTAGTGACATTGAACATCTTTTCATGTCTATTGGCCATCTGTATGTACTCTTTGAAAAAGTTTATTCAGGTCCTTTGCCAAATGTTTAATTGGATTGTTGAGTTGTATTAAGTTCTTTATAAGATTTGGATATTAACTTTTATCAGCTGTATCATTGGGAAATATGTTCTTTTCATTCAATGGGTTGTCTTTTCATTTTGTTGATGGTTTCCTTTGCTGCACAAAAACTTTATTGATGTAGTCCCATTTGTTTATGTTTTCTTTTGTTTCCCTTGCCCAAGCAGATATATCAGAAAAAAGTATTGCTATAGTGCTATAAGAAATAGCTGAAATTTTACTGCCTATGTTTTCTTCTAGGATTTGTATGGTTTCATGACTTATATTTAGGTCTTTAATCCATTTTGAGTTTATTCTTGTGTAAGTTGGTCTAGTTCCAATTTTTGCATTGATCTGTCCAATTTTCCCAACACCATTTATTGAAGAGACTGTTTTTACCCCATTGTATGTTCTTGCCTCCTCTTGAATATTAATTGACCATAATGGCATTGGTTTGCTTATGGGCTTTCTATTCTGATCCATTGTTCTATGTGTCTTTTTTTAATGCTAGTACCATGCTGTTTTGTTTACTATAGCTTTGTGGTATAGTTTATCAGGTAGCATGATTCCTCCAAACTTGTTCTTCCTTCTCAAGATTGTTGTTGCTATTCAGGGTCTTTTGCAGTGCCATAGAAATATTTGGAGTATTTATTCTAGTTCTGTAAAATACACCACTGATATCTTGACAGGAATTGTGTTGGAATCTGTAGACTACTTTGGGTAGTATAAACATTTTAATGATGTTAATTCTACTTATCCATGAACAGAGAATATCCTTCCATTTATCTGTATCTTCTTCAATTTCTTCCTTCTGTGTCTTTTATGAGTACAAACCTTTCACATCCTTGGTTTAATTTATTCCTAGGTATTTTATTTTTTGATGCAACTGTAAATGGAATTATTTTCTTTCTCCCTCCTTTCTCTCTCTTTTTCTTTCTTGCTAGAGGGGAAGTGAAGCAGACAGAGGAAAAGAAACATCAATGTTCAAGAGAAACATTGATCAATTGCCTCTTGTATACCCCCAATAGGGTACATGGCCCACAACCCAGACATATGCCCTGACTGGGAATCGAACCAGTGAACTTTTGTTTTGCAGGATGATGCCCAACCCACTGAGCCATACAAGGCAGGGCAGTGGGATTATTTTTTCAGTTTCCCTTTCTGACAGTTCATTATTGGTGTATAAAAATGCAACCCATTTCTGGATATTTATTTTGTATGCTGTCACTTTAATGAATTCATTTATCAGTTCTAGTAGGTTTTGGGGGGGGTAATCTTTAAGGTTCTCTATATCCAGTATCATGTCATCTGCAAATAATAATAGTTTTACTCATTCTTTTCCTATTAAGATACCTTTTATTTCTTCTTTCTGTCTTCTTGCTCTGGCTAGGACCTCCAGTCCTAGCTGAATAAGAGTATGAAAGTGGACCTCCCTGTCTTGTTCCTGATCTTAAGGAAAATGCTTTTAGTTTTTGCCCATTGAGTAAGGTGTTGGTACTCTGGGCTAGGGAGCCTGGTGTGGAACTGAGACTCCACACTCCTCAGGGGGAGGATTCACAGCTGAGATACCACTCTGGGATCTCAGCCACAGCCCCTGGGAGCAGGGTCAGCCCTTCTCACATTTCTGCCCTTCCTACCAATCTTGGTGTGGTTTCTCCTGTAAATCCTTGGTTATACGACTTCTGTTCAGACTCTTCAGTTGGTTATTCAGGTTGATTGTTCTACATTTTAGTTGTATTTCCAATTTGGACCTGGGAGGAGGTGAGCGTAGCTTCCACCCACTCCACTGCCATCTTGGATCTCTCCAATAGTACTTTCTAACATTTATAGAAACATTAACTTAGCACCATCAGCACTCACTGTCAATGTCATTTTTATTATAGTTAATTTATAATTCCCACTTGCTGTCATAGTCAAGCTTATACAGAGAAACAATCAAGAATTACAGGAGGGGAATCAGAATGCTTTGATAGGCCAGCATGCCAGGGCCCCAAACTCCAAGACAACAGCTCTTTGTTCAAGACCTTGACCTATGAATCTCTTCATCTGGCTGCTGCATTGCCATTAATAAGGGATGTCAATTGTGTAAAGAAAGGAATGGCTAAAAATTCCATTGATTCATTGTTAACCACAGAGCATTAAAGTCATGTGAAAGATACAGATCACTTCTAAACCCACAACTGGTTTTTCCTGAATTAAGAAAAATGCTGTGGTCCTGGTCAAGTAGCTTGGTTGGTGCATGATCCTATATACCACAAGGTTGCAGGTTCAGTTCCAAGTCAGGACCCATACCTAAACTGCAGGTTTGATCCCTGGTCAGGGTGCATAGAAGAGGCAACTGATGGATGTTTCTCTTTCCCTTTCTTTCCCTCTCCCTCTCTCTCTCAAACATATCCTGAGATGATGATTTGAAAAAATAAAGGAAATTTCTGGTATTCTATCTACATGGTGTCAGATCAGAGTCACTAAACAAGAAATAAGTAAATCTGGTGTTTCTGGAGACTGGGGGAAGTTGCAAAAAATACAAAAAAAGAAAAATAGTCATGTTGTTAAGATCTGAGGCTTCATTTCCAAGACTGATGTTGACCAGAACCTAATTGTCCTGGGGGCTTAATGATTATGGGAAGGCAAGTGCAAGGAAGGAGAGAGGCAGATTTGGATGGTCTGCAGTTGACAACTGAATACAGAATAGCCAGCTGGCAGGGAGGCACGGGGCGGGGGATGGGGAGAGGGTGTGGAGCCACCACGCTGCTCTACCCGCATCTCCACGTGTTCATCCACCCAGACGCGCTCCCGACAGAGGGAAACTTCCGGTGTTAGGTATCATTTGACAGTGTACCTGACACCCATTCGGTCATAACTTTTTGATGTTATATCCAGCCAGCAAGGCATCCATTGCTTTTTATTACACTGCTTCATGGCCAGAATGCCTGTTTGTACTTTCTTCTAGACGTTTATTAACTCTTTGAATAAAGAGTTGCTTTTTATTTTTATGAAATATGTTCCCTAAGTGAAATATGTTCCCTAAGATGCTAGTGAATGAAAACGTAAATATGGTGATGTCTTTTGTGTATTTACAACCAGGACAGAGATGAACGGCTTCATTTCTAGTCCGTGAAACAATTAACCTTTACTGACTCAACATAACGTTGTTTATATTAGGATACCCATTGATTCAGCTACTAAGGAAGGAAAGAGAAACTAAGAGACAATTTAGCTCCCCACTTCACCTTGCCCTATTTAGTAGATATTAAAATTGGTAGATCCTAAGATACTTAAGAATTTCTGGCTCTAAGTCATTTGCCTGTTACTTTTCTTTGTAAAGTTGTACAATTATATGAATAAGTATTTCAATTTCAAGAGAATTCTTATTGAAGTCTATGTGTACTATTGAATCACATACCACATGGCTGTGTGAAGGTGTGTTAGGATTGTTATAATTTAATTTTGAACTAATTTCATAAAAGACCCAATGTGGTGGTGAACGGTTAGTAAATTTTTAGGACCTGTGGGACATGAGGGCATGTTTCTGGAGGTCATTCATCAGGGTCTTTTCCAAGTTCAGGTCCAGGAACACAGGGTTAATCTTGTGTAGAGGCAGAGAGAGAGATTCTCTTATGGAACTAGTATTTCCTCTTAAGCCTTATATCAAGAGAACTCTATGCAAGGTTCCTGTAGTGACCACTTTCTCTAGGAGCTAACAGTCAAAATCAACAGTGACCGCAAATCATATAGCAGTGTGACCATTAGTAGTCTGAATTTTTTTTTATTAAATTTGACATGTTATATTATGTAAGCTTCAGGTGTTCAATGTGTTACTTTGATACACTTATATACTGTAGATGGTTGCTGTTGTAACAATATTTATCATATTACCTAGTTAAAATATAATATCACTGTCTAGATCAGTAATTTTCAACCTTTTTCATCTCATGGCACATATAAACTATGTATTAAAATTCTGCAGCACACCAAAAAAATATATTTTTTGCCGATCTGACAAAAGAAAGATAAGTATAGTTTTGATTCATTCATACCAGACAGTTACTGTTATGTGGGTTGTTGTCATTTTTTTTTACTTGACAATCTAAGGGAAAAGAGGTCAGTGCCCCTGACTAAACAGTCAGGTATCACATGTTCTAAAAAGTCCTGCGGCACAGGGTTGAACACTGCTGGGCTAGCGTCATCACACTGTGCATTATAGTTCTACGGCTCTTTTACTACTTGTTATAAGCCGCACCCTTAAACACCATCACTCTTATACCCCCTCCCCATGCCCTGCTAACCACCATTTTACTCTCTGCTGCTTTGAATTTCACAGGTTTGATGTTTTTAGGTTCCATATATAAGTGATATCACAACAATACTTTTCTTTTTGTTTGATTCATCTCACTTAGTATGCTGTGCTCAAAGCCTATCCATGCTGCGGTCAATGGCAGGATATCCCCCTTTCTCGTGGCTGGAAACACTCATTGTATACATGTTTTACATCTTTCTCACCCATTCATCTGCTAATGGGGTTGTTTTCGTCCCGTGGATAACACTGCAATAAACATGGGAGTGCACATGTCAAAAAAAAAAAAGAATTGTAAGAGCAGGAATCATTGCAAATACTCTAGCTCACACGACAGTCACAACTAAATATCTATCAAACCACATTAAGAAGCTGATGATACACGCTTTGGCAGTTTTCAAGAGACACTAGTGAAATCATCAATAAATCTCAACGCATCAGTTACTATCGAGTGCACCCCTCCTCCCGCAGTTCGAGTTGTATTGGGTGTGTGAGGACAAGCAGTCTGACTCCATAAACTTCAAAAATATACACTGAAGACTTATTATTCACAGAGTTCTTGGCATAGTTGTATTTTGAGGTTTCTACTGTTGAGAAGTTTGAGGTTTTTGTTCTCTCTCTTTCAGTCCCAAAAGCTCCGTTTTGAGTTCTCCAGGCTTTGGGGGAATTTCAGGTATTGTCTATTAAAAACAAAAGAAAACATAGATGCCAGTGCTTTCTTAGACTGTAATTCAATGTGACCTGAAAAACTTCAAAGCAAATAAGAAGTTAAGGACAGAAAGTCCCTTGCTACTCACTGATAAATCCCTATTACGAGAACCCATGGCTGCCCAAGGTCCTTGCTAGCCCTACATTTATGGCTCTACCATCCAGCCTATGTCTTAGTTCTGCAGAACTCCCAGAGGGAGAGTCTGCATCACTACCAACTAACAGATCAAAAATCGGAATAAAGCTTTCCATATATGGAAATGTATTCCTGTGCAATTTACTGCCTCTCTACCATGCATAAAGCAGTAAGCAAAAACATACAAAACTGCATTCAGGAAAGAGGGTCAGGAAAAGCCTGAAAAGGCCACTTTTTTTTTTTTTGGTAAGTCACTTTAGTGAGATTATTTGCATACCATATCATTCATTCACTGTAAGCATAAACTGAATGGCCTTTAGTATGTTCACAACGTTGTGCATCCATCATTACAATTGATTTTAGAACTGCGTCCCCAAGAGACGCCCCAGAGCCATCAGCAGTCACTACTGTCTCCACACAGCCTTCCGGCCTCCGAGCCCCTGCCCTAGGCAATCATTAATCTACTCTTGTCTCTATAGACTGGGCATTTAATATAAATGGAATTATACAGTATGTAGGCTTTTGTGACTAGTTTCTTTCACTTAGCATGTGTTCAAGGTTCATCCCTGTTGTCACATATCAGTGTTTCACGTCCTCTTAGAACAAACAGTATTCCATTACATGGGTATACCACATCTGTGTATGTCCACTGATCAGCTGACAGACAACTTGGATTGTGTCCACTTTTTGGCTCATCTAAAACTCGTATTTTGCCATGTATAATGCACACTTTTTGCCCAAATTTTTGAGGGAAAATAAGGATGCACATTATACATGGTAGCTACTGGAAAATAAAATTTCTTGTACCTTGTATCTGTTTTTGTGTTTTGTAATTATTTGTTACATAAAATTTCTTGTACCATAATATGGTAAAAAAATAATTGCTGCACCCTGGCTGGCGCAGCTCAGTGGACTGAGCGCAAGCTGCGAACCAAAGCATCACAGGTTCGATTCCCAGTCAGGGCACATGCCTGAGTTGCAGGCCACAGCCCCCAGCAACCACACATTGATGTTTCTCTCTCTCTCTCTTTCTCCCTCCCTTCCCTCTCTAAAAAATAAATAAATAAAATCCTTTTAAAAAATAAATTAAAAATAAATGCTAATATTCCTTTAAAATACAAAAAAAAATCTAAATATAAATAAGTAAAATATTGAATTGAGGAATTAAAATGAAAGATTTTTTTCCTGAAAGTTTGGGTCAAAAACATGGGTGCGCATTATACACGGCAAAATATGGGAATACTTCCATGAATATTCACATACAAGTTTTTGTGTGGGCATAAGTTTTTCACTTCTCTCGGGCATAAACGGGGAAGCAGACTGGCTGGGACACACGACTCCATGTTTAACTGAGGACCTGCCAGGCTGTTTGCCACAGCGGCTGCACCCTTCGACATTCCTCACCGCCCTGTATGAGGGTTTGAATTTCTCCACTGCCTCACCAAACCTTGTCATTACTTGGGGTTTTTTTCATTAATAGCCATCATAGTGGTTATAAAGTGGTGTCTTATTGTGGCACAGTCCTTTGTGGACCCTACATTCTAGTGGAGGAAACAAGAAGCAAACAGAGACAAAGGAATAAAGTAATTGTAGATTGTGCCCCGTGCTCTGTGGAAACAAAGGATGGGGACAAAGCAGCAGAGGAGCAATTCTTGTGACGCTGCCCAAAGGACCCCCACTGCTGGAGGAGATTTGAAGCAGAGACCTGAAGTTTTGAAGGAAACCAAGGCAAGATCTGGGAGAAAAGCAGTCCAAGAAGCGATAAAGCATGGCCTTGAGGTAGCAATAGGCCTGATGAACTTGAGAAACAGCAAGGAAGCATGTGTGGCTGCAACAGAGGGAACAAGGAGGAAGGAGATAAGGTAAGGGCCCTGGCAGGCAGGTGCCAGACTGTGTAAGACGTTAAGGCTGTGTATGATTTCTGGGGAAGACTGTGTTAGAGCAGGCAGGCCATGAGGACATGGCATTGCTGCAAATGCAATTGGATGCCATCGTAAGGTTTTTAGGCGCAGGGCAAATGTGCTCCTGACTTTAAGATCACTTTTGCTGCTGCGAGGAGAGCGCAGTGGTCCCAGACCCAGGAACGAGGACCCTCCTGCACTCACCAGGTCTGGCCGGTAGTACCTGTGCACCACTTCAGCCCCTGCGAACATGGCCAGGAGGCTGGCTGCCATCATCTTCACGTAGCTGGTCCAGGGCACTCCCGCGGGCATGGTCAGCAAGCTGGGTGGGGAGGGAAAGTGGGCAGTGTTAGTAGGTTTCCAACTCACGTCTAAACCAAGCTGGGAAATAAGTTTCTCAGCAGTGCAGGACAGGGTCAGAAGACCATCGTTCCCTCCATCCCTGCACCTGGAATCCTTCAGAATTTAAAGACAGCTCTGCAGGAGCCAGCGGAAGGCCCACCCGCCTTGTTTCCCTGCACCCCTCCAAACTCTAGAACTGCAGGCTGCACTCCCACTGGCCCTAGGTATGCTCCCAGGGGCCGACTGTACCTCGGAGGGCACGGGCACTCTGCAGTAGGTCGGAGAGTGGGCAGAAGTGTGTCCAGGAGCCCGAGCAGCCGGCCATCACACCAGTCAGGCGTGCAGGGGCTGGGGCCCCTGCCAGAGAGGACAGTGGGGGCACTGCAGTGCGGGCTTGTGAACTGGGCAGGGCGGGACTTGGGGCCAGGACCAGCATTTTTTTTAAACCGATTCCCAGGTCTTTCCCAGCCCAGGTGTCTGTCTCCCTCATCATTCCCCCATAGTAGGATTTCCCTGGCAGATGCTGAGGCTTAGGTTTGGCTCTGGCTGGATTAATGCATCATTTGTCCCTTTGCGTGCACAAATTGCTGGCGTTAGCCACCTTTAACAAGCGGGTGGAGACTGGCACGCTGAGCAGTGAGTGCTCAGGTGAGGTCACCTTCTAGTGAGTGAAGTTAAAGGCACTCTGTCCCTGTGCCAGATGTCCTTTGATGCCTGAAACACCTACACCGAGACAGCTGTATACCTCTGTGCTATGATGCTACTGGAAAAGAGGAAACCTGAAGTCGACATTTAATTAGGCATTTTTAGGTTGTGCTTTGGTTACAGATTGATTTGTGTTAAGAAAAGGTTAATACAAGACAATTTCAAAGGATTATGGTTGTGTGTATAAGATGAATCATGATATACCCACTTTTTAAACAGGGATGTATATCTGACATAAAATAAATCACATATTTAAAGTACAACATTTGAGGAGGTTTGACATGTGTACACCTGTGTAACCATTCTTAAATCAAAATAATGAACGTATCTATCATACTCAAAGTTTCTTTGTGCCTTTCTTTTTTTTTAATTTTTTAAAGATTTTTTAATTTATTTACTTGTTCTTAGAGAGAAAAGGGAGGGAAAAAGAGAGAGAGAGAGAAACATCAATGTGTGGTTGCAGGGGGCCATAGCCTGCAACCCAGGCATGTGCCCTGACTGGGAATCAAACCTGCAATGCTTTGGTTCACAGCCCACGCTCAATCCACTGAGTTACACCAGCCAAGGCTCTTTGTGCCTTTCTAATCCCCCCACATCGCTTTCTGCCCTGGGCAACCATGGTAAGCAAGCTTACTAGGTTCTTGAAAGGAACAGGAAAACTGGGAGGACAAGGGAAACAAGGTGAAGTGACTTGGCCTTCTTTTGCTTTCCCGTCACACAAGGTCTGTTGGAAGTAGAGACATATTTGGCAAAGACAGGAGATTTTCTCCTAGGCTTTCCCCATCAAGCTCACAGCAGAACAAGTCTGTCTTCCAGGTAGAGTCAGGGTGGTGAGCGAGACATGATGGAACAGGAGTCACTTTGTTGATTGCTTCACCATTCCCACGTTCAATGTCCTGCTCCCCAACAATCTTCTAGTAATCTCTTCATAAGACAGAACTAAACTGAGGCCCCTGGTCTGCTGAGGTTATGAATGGACCTGGCAGACCCAGAAGGCGCAGCCCCAGAAGGCGCAGCCCCACAGTGAGGGAGGTGCTGGTTGCCCAAGGGCAACTCTTCCCGAGTGAAAACCTCCTGAGAAAAGTTTGCAGCTCTTACATGTACTTCCCGTCACCAAATTTACCTCTCTGAAATCAATTAGAAGGCACCTGCTTTAAAACTTTTCTAGACTGTGATCCTAGGTGGTTAGAAACCAGAGAAAAAGAGGATGCACTGCTATTCATTCATTAATTCAACAAATAACTCAATAGATACCTACTGTTTTGTACTGGTCTCAGGTTATCACCAACCAATGTTGTGACTGAACCAGTCCTTTCGGTTCTTATTAGGGCTGTGAGACACCCTTCAGCAATAGCCATCAGGAAACTTTGAAAAGATACAGGTTTATTATTTATAAGACCTGGAAATTACACAGCACACCTGCGGCCCCACAGCAAGGTGGCAGCCAGAGAGTGAGTGAGTGCACCCACGTGCTCGGACCTGGAGTTCCGCTTTTACTGGAGTCAAGTACGGGTGCCTAGGGTTTTACAGTTCACTCTTCATCAGTGAATTTAAAACAAGAGAGTGAAAATTTAAAGCACAGGGGAAGGGGAAAAAACAAGTAGCCCAATGGTCATTTATTGAAATCAACCAAGATTCCTAAAGTAAAGCAGTTCTGGGAGGTGGCCCAGCTCTTCAATGGCTCTTTAACCTATAATGTGTGTGTGTGTGTGTGCATGTGTGTGCATGTGTGTGCATCTGCCTGTATGGTAATGTCTTTATTCTAGATGGTGTGTGTGTGTTAATGTGTGTGTGTCTGGCAACGTGTCTGTTCCAAATAGCCAATCTATGAAATTGGATGCCTCTTAGAAATGAATGCCGCATTCAAAGCTTAAGTGAGGCACCTGCATGAAAAAAAGAAAAAAAGTACCAGGGTTTATACATAGCCACCACGAGTTAGGTTCTGAGTAGTACCTAATAAGGGACACCGTATTTGTAAAGGTTCTGAAAAGTTTTAGAATAGTAAAAGTTGTATTTAAATAATTTACATAATACAAATTAATCATTCTACATATACTCATGAAAGCGCTTTCTTGGATTGCAGAATGAAGAAGCCACATAAAGCGCAGAGGCACAGCCATCTCCCAGCCCACGTTACATTAGTGAGAAATAAACCTTTGTTGCTGTAAACCACTGAGATTTTAGAGTTAGCTTTTACCGCGGCTTCACTAGGGAAAACTAATACAGCAGCCATGTTTTTCATCATGCAAACTAGAGAAAAGGAAAGAGCCATCTCCATTAAGTTATTTAATGAAATCCTTGCACAGCACCAATGACAACTTGAGAATCAATGAGACAAAAACCAGCTGTAAGAGCCATTGAGAAAAAAATAGCGTTGGTCTGTAAGGTTATAAAGAAAACCATGTTTATAACCAAGGTTATCAAGATGCCTCAGTGGCATCTACTATCATAAGCTCCAAACTGATATTTTTTACACACCCAAGGTAAAGCAGACAATAGATGTAAAGTTTTAAAAAGCAGTTTCACAATCATCTCATTTTATACATTAGGAACTTGAGGCCCAAGATGGTAAAGTGGCCTGGACTCCCAGGGTTTCTGATTCCACAGACTCTTCTTTCTCCCACAACATGCTTGATAATTAATGCAAAACAGTTTTTAACCAGGATAAAATTTTGGGTGGAGAGGCCTGGATAATTTTGATCGGTAAGCATAACCGCCCCACCTACACAGCGTCCCCAGAGGACATCATCACCCATTCACTCCCACCACCCGTCCACCCCCTAAGAGTCCTGGGGGGGACAAAAAACTTACGTCAGCGGAGCGCTCACCCTCCCACCTTTGTGTCCTCCACCCTTCCCAAAAGGCCAAGCGGCAGGTAGACACTTGATTGGACTGTCCTATGACACGTGACGTCCACTAGTCGTGGGACTTGGCGCCGAACGAACGGAAGCGCCCCGCAAAAGAGGGGTTTGCACTGTGGGGAGGGGGGGACTAGATGCTTGGGGGGAGGAGCTAGAGCGGTAGCTGCTATCCCAGTTCTGCCACCAATTGTGTCCAAGTGTCTCGTTTTTTGTCGAACTGCTGTACAAAAGCCAAGATACTACAGCGACATCGCTCGCTTGTCTGGCAGGAGTAGCCGTTTTCGCGCGCGGCAGCTAGGAATGGAAGCAGAGAACGCCGGCAGGTAAGGCCGGGGCGGAGCGCCGCCCCTCCCCCCCGCACTCCTCACGGCGGGGCTGGCCGGCGCGCGCGCGCACGCACGCACGCACACACACACACACACACAGGCAGGGGGTCTTTAAGTTCCGAGGCCCGATACAAAGGCCGGCTTTGCGCGTGCGCACTGCCAGCCTGCTCTGTTCACTTCCTCACCCGGGCGGTCCTGACGCGGCCTCTCTAGCACCTGAACCCCTCTTTTCTGTCGTTTCCGGCGTCTAGCTGGTTATAAAACGTGTTAGTAAGCAATCAGCAGCCTCCTGTTAATATTTCTGGCTGCCATTCTTGGCTGCATTTCCTTCACCCCATATTATATGTGAAGGAGCTGTGAGGATGCAGTATCATCGTATCCGTTCAAGAGTTTGCATTTTAGAATTAGGTGTAGTGTGGCTTCCTTCCCCCAAAGGTTTGCTGAAAGCATCGTCAGGGGCCACGAGGTAGACAGCATTGCCAGCCTAGAGCTCTTGAATTCTGAGACTTTGGGTAACAGTCCAAGAAGTCCTCTAAAAATGTCGTCTAGGTCTTGGGGACGAACTGAAGAGTCTACTTTTAACATGTCCTTTGGGGAGTGTTGGACGCGTGGAAGGAAATGTATTGCAAAGTCAGAGGTTTCGAGATTTGAACTGGCAGAAAACCAAATAAAAAATAATTAGATATGTTATATAACAGGGTCTTTTTAAAAATAAAGTGGTGATCTATATTGGACTAAAATACTGTTAGATCTATGAAGAATTAGCCTCACTCTCAGTGGCTAATTGGCCCCGAAGTTAGGCAAGACACTTCATTTCTCTGGGCCTGTTCACGTCGTGAAATAGGGCATCTCTAAGATCCAGTTCTGACACTCTGTGAATCCGGGTCATGTGGAAAGGGTTAAGTAACCAACATAGTCTTAGAGTTTAGAAAGAGATACTTTAGATAAAGGAGGACTTTATCCTGACTTTGTGGGTCAAATTCTGAAATGAAGTACTCCACTTCTTTCCCAGAACTTTACAAGTAAAAGAATTCAGCAAAACTTGTGAAAATCACTCTCACCCTTGCGATCTTCAGATCAGAATTGAAACTTGGGTAAAAACCTACCATCGGGTGAACTACATGTTTATAAGACCTTATTCAGTGTCTTATAAAGCAAAGTAATAGGTCTCTGGTACAACGGTTAGCTCAATACTGACTTATATTCTGTCTTCAGTTAATCCATAGGGTTACAGATAATTTTTAAATTTTAACTTGCAATACTTTACCCTCAGGAAACATGGAGAATTCTGCATTAATACTGTAAGGAGTTTATCCCTGGGAATTCTAAAATGACAGGCCACAGACAATTCCAAGAAAGTGGTCTTATGTCACCCTTACTTTGGAATCCATTGATTCATGCCATCCAAATGATGAGTTTGCTTTTTACTTTGGAATATTAACCTCAAAAAATTAAAAGAAAAAAATCTGTGGGTATAGACTCTTTTAAAAAGAGAAGATAGTTCAAGAGCCATCTAACCAGAGAGGAAAAAAAGGAAGAATAGGGCCAGTATGTTTCTAGTGAGATCAAGCATGGAATAGACATTTACCAAAGATGGAAACAAGATGGCAAATCAGAAATGGCTGGAAAAAGTGTCCCATGGACCACTGAGAATACAGACAGGGAACATTAACCCTCGAATAAGATCAAGCATTCTAGAAGTGTTAAAGAGAGCAAGGAGAACTTTTGGGGTTAGGTGAAGACAACGAGAAAGACAAGAAAGGCTCAGGTTTTCTCCCTAGTTTACGTAGTGTTGGTAGCAACAGAAACATAAGCACTTAGTTCTGATTTTTGTTTTTCACCTTCTGTGTTAAAGTGATTGCAGACTAGAAATGGGGAATGAATGTTTGTAAGAGATTTAAAGCTAAAAATCAATGAGGTTCTTTAGGAAAACTTTAGCTGCCATAGCAGAAACTCTATTCTCTGGCCTGGATGAGTTGGATTTTAAGTGAAAGGCCACATACAGCAGTGTTTGAGAACTTGTAGGCAACAGGGGAGGGGTCTGAAGCCAGAAAATAAATGTGTGGGTCCCTGTTTCTCCCAAAGGTGGAATCTGCCGTTATGGACTTTGATCCTAAATAAAATGGTTACTTCTCAGTGGTTATTGAGCATATTTAAAAGGCACTAGGCTATAGTATAAGTGCAGAAAAAAGCAAGACCTACCAAGCTAGGTCATTCCCTTTTATATAACGATACTAGACTAGACAACATCAGAAGGATGATGACAGAAGGTACTTAAATATTTCATCATTTCCTGCTGTTTTTATTATTGTCATGGCAAACTTAGTTTATACCAGGTGCTGTTTTAAGTGTTTTACACCTGTTAGCTAATGTAATCCTGGTAACCAATGAACTAGGTGCAACTATTCTCATTTTACAGATGTGGAATCTGGGACATAAAGAGGTTAAGGAACTTGCCTATAGAGCTAGTAAGTGGCAGAGTGGAAGCTTGGACCCAGGCAGTGTGGCTTCAAAGGCTGCCTTCCTAACAACTGTGCCGTACCATTTGTGTATGGGGATGGGGGGTGGGAGGGAGCAAGATGAAGATGGGTTGATGGCAGTCTAATTAGGCGAAATCAAAACTGGTTAACTACTGGAAGAGTTGAGAGCAGGCTAAAGAGAGGTCTATACTGATGTGCCATGTACTTCTACCCCAACTTGGTTCTCTTCAGAACTTTAACAACTTCTCAGGGTGCTGGTGAAATGATAAGATCTACCTGTGACCTAACTCTGGGAGGGTTTGTGGAACTGATGGGTTGACTCAGAATCCAGATCAGTCCCAACGGGCTGGAATGGTGAATCATCTTTTACAAAAAGAGGCACAATCCTTTGTTTCAGTGGGGAAAAATCAGCGGTCCAAACGGGAGATGAAGGAGAGGTGTTAAAGCAGAAGTTTTCGTTGATGGGGAACGCCGCAGTGTGAATCACCAGTGTACTGCGAGTGCCAGTACAGCCGAGTGCCAGTAAAGCCAATGTGTTAGGTTCTGTGAAGTCTCCAGGATGAGGAAGTCGATCGCCCTGCTCAGTTTCAGGACGACGGGGCTGTATCTGAAGTGTTTTTAGTTTGTTTGCTTCTGAGCATCAAAAATGACCAAATAGTGGGGAAGCTTGAAATCATACTACATGAAGAGAAGCTAAATGAACTGGGGGCTCTGGCTTATTCTGTGTCTTTGCTTTTATAGTTTCTGGTAGACTGTGCACAGCAAGTACCCAGTAATCTGTGACTAATACACACACATCCACTTAAGCAATATTAAATGGAATCCTTAAATAGTTACGGTATTCCATCATAGTTTGCATAAGTAGTCCTTTTTACTTGAGCATTGGGATTACTTAGCATTGATTGATGTTTTTGTAAGTATTCAGTGTTCTATATGTTTGTTTAAATGAAGATGATAAAATGTTGCTATGAATGTTTATGCCCTTCCAAATTCATATGTTGAAGCCTCATCCCCAGTGTGATGGTATTTGGTGGCAGGGGGTGGGGTTTAGGAGGTGATTAGTGCTCTTGTAAAGGAGATCCCCAGAGAGACCCATCACCCCTTTTGGCACATGAAGACACACGGAGGAGGCAGCCCTCTGTGGGCCCAGAAGCAGGCTCTCTTCATTATCCACCCATCTATGGTATTTTGTTGTAGTGGCCCGAATGGACTGGGACGAGTGTATTTAGAAAGAGCAACTGCAGTCTCTCAAATAGTGCAAAACAATTGTAGATTTTAAAAAGTTGGAATTTGGCAGAAAACTGTACTTGAACAATGATTAAAATAAATTTTTTTTAAAAAAATGGAGTTGTTCCTTTTAGAGAAAACCTTAAAGAATTCGTTTTTTGAAATACAGCAAAATCTGAATTAACTGGACTCCTCGGTCAGCTGTGTGTGTGTGTGTGTGTGTGTGTGTGTGTGTGTGTGTGTTGAGAAAGACTGTTGGGAGATACACAGTTCATCAGGAAAATACACTTTTCTCAATTTCAGACGACTATAAAAACCTACCTTGGAGCAGTGCAGTTGAGGAGAAAGGGGGTGCACGGAGAGGCCAAAAGAAAGGAAGGGCAGTTAGCAGCAGGGACAGGAGACAGCACACAGGGCAGGTGGGGACAAATGTAAACGATAGGGAAAAGTGAACGAGAGGAAGTAAAACCATTCATACCTCTCTGACCGAGTAGCTCATTTGGTAAGAGCATCATCCCGATATGCCAAGGTTGTGGGTTCAACCCCTAGTCAGGGCACATACAAGAAGCAACCAATGAATGCATAAATAAGTGGAACAACAAATCTGTGTTGCTCTCTCTCTCTCTCTTCCTTCCCATCTCTAAAATCAATTAAAAATTACTCAGCCCTGGCTGATGTGGTTCAGTGGTTGAGTGCCGGCCTGTGAATCAAAGAGTCGCTGGTTCAATTCCCAGTCAGGGCACATACCTGGGTTGCAGGCTGGGACCCCAGTTGGGGGTGTGTGAGAGGCAACCACACATTGATGTTTCTCTCCCTCTCTTTCTCCTTTCCCCTCTCTAAATAAATAAATAAATAAATAAATAAATAAAGTCTTAAAAAATCATTCATACTTATAACTGATATTAGAGAATTCTAAAAAATGAAAACTCTTTTGGGATATGTCTGGAGTCTGGACAGATTTGGCCCTGT